GAAGAAGAAGTGCTGCTGCAGAGTTAGTGCATCAAAGAAAACCAAGAAGAAGAGCCGATGTGCTGTAGCGTCAAATTTTCGGCATGTTTAGAACAATTCTTACAAGTACAACACGACGTAGCTGGGCGCCGTGGACAGAACCCGAACGGCGCCGCCGGTGTGCCTACACTCATAGAAAATAATGTTTTCAAATAAAATTAAAGACGTGGCGCGGCGCGACGCTGTGCTTCTCGTCGGGTGTGCGACCGCCTGAAACGCTGTTTTTTTCACCTCCGTGCCCAAACGGCTTTGTTTGGGCTTCCGAAAGCGGATGATGTCAGGAAACAGTGGTTGCAATTTATTTTTTAACTCTGTTCCTGAGCATTATAACCCCAATTTGCTATTATGTGCTGCACATTTTACTGAGGACAGCTTCCACAACACGAGGGAGTACAGTGCCGGATTCGCCAAAAGCTTTAGTTGAAAGACGGAGTAAGGGGGCATGGCAGTACTGAAACACTGTCTAAGCTGTTCACAATCACAACGCACTGGGACAGCTAACCAATCACAACACATTTTGTTTTTCGGAAGGCGGACCTTCATCAAAGCCGGAACTAATCGAGCCGTTTGTGCCAGGCTGGGGAGAAAGGTATTGTAATAATGTAAATTATGTGAAAAATAATGTGTTTTTCGAAAAACCTAGTATGAGAGCATGTTCTAGTACACCCCCAAAACAAAATCAAGACTTTGTAAAAGAGCATAATAGGACTCCTTTAACAATAACCATGCAATTCTAACGTTTCTCAAAATCAAAATAAAGTTACAACTACTACACTCAGGAGTAATGCCAATTGCATCAAGATATTTTAGATATGTATATTAGCAGCTATTGACAGTCAGGTGCTGAGATTTGTTACAAAAATTAAGAGCAAGGGTCAGCAAAAAATGAAAAGAAGGCAAAACATTGAAAATACCTGTTTATATGTCAGCTGTAGAGCTTCCAATAGCTTTGGTAAGGAGTACTCTGTGACCTCACTATGAGAGAAATGATTTAAGGACATAACCATGATAGATGTTTCTGTATTTTAATACACACAACAGAAGGTCATTAATAAAGAAGTCCTTTATCTCTATGTCAATTTAACATGTTAGAAACATGCCTTTCCAAAAAGGTGTAAAAATGAC